GCGCTACTCAGGGATCACTTTGGCCAGTGTGCTGTGGAAGAGCTACGTTGCGCTACTCAGGGATCACTTTGGCCAATGTGCTGTGGAAGAGCTAAGTTGGGCTACTCAGGGATCACTTTGGCCAGTGTGCTGTGGAAGAGCTAAGTTGCGCTACTCAGGGGTCACTTTGGCCAGTGTGCTGTGGAAGAGCTAAGTTGGCCCGGGCGTACTGAAGTCCAAAGTTCTAAAAATCTAACAACCCCACAGTCCTACGGGTGGGGAAAAACCATGGGCGCTCTCACACGCCAAGGAGGTATTAATCCTTTGGACTCCAATTGCGCCTTTAGTGAGCCTCGGCATCCTTGCAGCTGCGGTCGCGAACCTGGTGATGTTTCACGTGGGCCTGCGTATTTACAAGGTGGAACTTCCGGATGCAATGAGCCAGGCTTCTTTGTCAGCATCATACTTACGGTTAACACTGGGTGTGGGATCTTTGTTTCAGCTGTGGCATGCATTTAGCACCAAGATGTTTGGACGCTATGTGTTGCTGGCCTTTCATCTTGTGATCATGGGTCCTTGGGCTAATGCCTTTCTGCCGATCAACATGGTCTGCCGATTTTGGACCTCTGATGCGGCAGATGCGCCAGAAGTGATCGAATTATCAAGGATGGACAGCGGGGCCTGAGATGGCTCGCAAGCATGCTCGCCATCGAGAATGACGAACTCTAGGGGCTTCCAAGACCTTCTGGACTTCTCACCTGCCTGGACATTCCGACCGGCCGACCTGCGAGCCAGGAGGAAGCAGGTCGATGGGAGGAGGTGAAGCAGTGTCACCACACCATCCACACCAGAGGGCGCCCCCACAGACCTTGGATAAAGCTTTGTCACCGCAAAGTGAAGTCATCCATTGAGAATCCGATGGCTGCGAACAATCCAAAGTAGCCCAAAGGCAGGCCGATTCAGTGGTGATTACACTTGACCATGGCAGGGGGACTCATTGGCTTTGCAGTTTCTGATTCCGTCACCTTGGAGATCATGCCTTCAAGGCCGTCTTTGCGGCAATTTGATGCCACTGACTTGACCACATTATACCGTATACCACAGAAGATCTTTCTCGCAACCCCCTGATCTGGTAAACCAGATCAATCGAGATCCTAGACTCAAAAAGAGTCTGTCAAAGCTTCTGTAAAGCAACGTCAGGGGTCGGGTGAAGCCCACAAGTTTGCGGGTCATGGATTATTGCACAGTCCCCTTCACTTAATCTGGACATTCCAGGTTGCCCATGTTGAGGTTATGCAAATCCATCTCTGGTCTCAGGTATTTTGAGCAAAGCCATGACACATTTACCAGGGAGTGCAGTCATGCTGATATCTACCAAGTGCTTGGTTGTGTCCATCTGATCAGGCAGGTCACATACATTCTGACTCACTAACATGGAAGTGGAAAGTGATCCCTTGGAAGCCTGCCTTCCTCTGCGAACAGAGGGTTTTCTACTTCCATGTAATGTTAGTGAATCGGAGTGTACCCACTCCCCTTTCCCAGACACTCCATGGGACTGCCATATATGCCTACATTGACCCCCAAAGCCACCCCAACTGATCGGCAGTCCTATGGCAGTCCCTTGGAGTGTCTGGGTTTGAGGCATCTGATCAGGCGAGCGAAGCCGTCCAATCGAGGAGCTCAAGAGCGAAGCCGCCATCGCCAAGCACGTCATCGCTTGCTCCACCGCCCTAGCACCTCAGCTACCGACTCGACCGTCGGAGTACCGGGAGAGATTGGGCAGTGAAGGCGTTGCTTCTCGTTGGTCTAACTCGGTCCGGTGGACCTGCAGGTGGAAGTTTCAGATGTTGGTGATGGTTTAATGTTGTTGTTGATGGACATATTGACGTTACTTGTTTAAAGAATTGGACTCAGACCAAGATGCGTTGTGCTTTCAGACCGACCGAACAGACCGGGGGACCGTTCTGAGGTCCCGACGCTTCGATTCTGGGTTGACCAGTGAGAGTCGATTCTGAGCGGTCGCAACTAATTCATATCAGAATCGATTCTCTTAGATCAATCTATATCAGAATCACGATAGATTTCATGTAGAATTCGTTTCATATAATGCTTCTGATATAGATTCATGATGTTTTGTATATCATTAGATAAACATGAGTTGTGTGGTGGGTGTTTGGTTGATGTCTCATACTCAAATTCAGTGCTGCTACGGTCACCTCCACTGCCATTCTCCTTGTGTGACAACCCTACTTCCGATAGTCCTCCCATTGATGAAGTGTAACAGGTTGAATGCCTGATATGTCTGGAAAACTGGAAGGGTGGCACCTTTACCTCAGACGAAAGACGAAAGATTCACTGCTTCCGCCCGCCCTGGAGTAAGCGCATGGGTGTATGGCAAGCCCCCACAAAAGCCTATCTCCGAAGCATGTTTGTTTCTCATCGCACTCAGGGAATGAGTCTTATCAGGCATCTCTATGAGGAGGTCATTCCCTCACACAATTCACCCCTTTTCAACCCCCGCCAAATGTAGGTTATATTCCTTAGTCGCACCACTCAGGAAGAAAAACTGTCACAGAGCCGAATGGCAGCTGGCCAGCTGAGGACAAGACCAAGGCCTTTGGTATTGACTCGGACAATGTCTTTGGCTTTTGGGACTGGGTCGGCCACTCGGAAAGCACGTGCCGTGATGTCCTCGATGTGGGAAGAGATTCCAATATCTTTGGGCGGATGAGTTGAGCGTGATGTAGTGAGTAGCAAGTGTCCTTTGAATCACTAAGTTTCAAGCACCAAAGAATGGGTACCAAAAGGATCTTTTGCCGTATGTCAGACATGTCATCAGCTTCAGACATCGCAAACAATCGGGGGAATGTCTGGACAAACGGCTCAATGTCCCCGACAAGCGGCGTCCAAGCGGCTTGGCGTGATCGACTGAACAAGAACCGAAATGGCCCAGCAAATTCCATTGTCGGGAACCAAGAGCACAACCCAGCAGCTGTGCTTCTGTTGATTCATTCCGCTGGATCGCCAGGAGATCCTGAAAAGAGCACATCTGAAACAAGCAAGTTTACCGCGTCGCAACCAACGTCAACGCAGAGGTTCGGACCTCCAGATGCAAAGCTCAACCAACATGTACAGTAGGTTGTTCCGACGGATTTTGAGTTGGGAAGTGCAGTGGGGCAGTGGTATGGCACGAAACAGGTGCCGCACCGTGCCCTCTCCAGATGGCAGGGTCCAGGTCAAAGGACTTGGTGGCTTGGCCTTTTTTGCCATGGCCTGCTCACTAAGGGGGTCGGTTCTCTGTGTGCAGCGCGGTGGGTGTGGTGCCTCTCTCCTTACAGCAGCTCGGAGTTTTTCAGATCGCCGGGTTAGCCGGGCCATGCGATGGGTGGGAGCCAAAACCCAGAGAGTTTGGATGGGATTGTTGGCCACTCATGGCCACTCTGGCTGATCAAAGACTCCATGAACTGTTGCGGAAATCATAAAGGTTTGGCCAATCCAGTGCTATGAATTGCAATCTTGGCGAAAATATGCGAAAATAATTTTGAATTAGTCACTAGTCTTGAGCAGCTGCTGGAGTTGCAGCGGTTGCTTTGCAGGAAGTAGATGTGTACGCTGGGGAAAAGGATCACAGCAACTGTGCGGACCGCCCCAAACGGCTCCAAACACATGTTCTGACAAATTATAGAAGTCTTACCAGAGTCTTACCAAGTCTTACCAGAGTCTTACCAAGTGAAACATGGATACGTACACCGCTCACCGCATCTTGGACAACTAGTTAGTTCTTTCACCTCTCACCGCATCCGGGCGGGGGCCTTAAACCCTCGCTCGGATCAAACAGGTATGGCTTCGATGTGGTGAAGAAGTTCTTGGACGGTGCACGGGCGATGGACTTGCATTTTAAAGATGCGCCCTTGGACCGGACACTGGGGCGATTCGAGCACTGCGGAGGGGGTTTGTTTTTGGGTCGTCTTGGACGTATGTATGGTAGACATGGTAGACGGTTGATTAGCGACCCCCCCCTTACGGTTTTACATCCAGACATGTAAGAATCCTTGGGCCCTCCATGGCAGGGGTCGGATCCTCCAAAGCAAGGGTCCGGACCCTCAAAACCAAACCCTATTTGTATGAGGGCCCCGAAAACCAAACGGGTAGAAGAGATTTGGACTCTCCCACGTGGGACTGGCATCTTGCATCGCCACGGATCCAATCACATCTTCAGGGGCAGACCCTGTGGCTTTGGAGAAGCTGTATTGCCCACAAATTCCATATATCGGTTGTTGGACTCGCTTCTAACGACCAACACCTGATTGGGCGACATTGGCAGAGCTGCTTTTCAGCCTGAGGAAGCCCAGAAATACACAGCCAAGCCACTGAATCGCACCAAATCCCATGAACATCCATGAACAACAACTACCCATCTTGAGATTCTCAATTACTTCTCGAAACATTGGCCATTCACAGATGTCATCAATCTTAAACAAGTCACACAACGACACAACTCCCAAATTGGAGACTCCGCTTGCACGTGCTTTCCGCGCCTAAGGAATTTACCCACACTCTTGGGTCTTCTTTCTGTATGGAACGCTTCCTGTATGGGATATGAGGCCTCTGGCATTGGCGGAGTGGGGGTCGTGCAGAAAAAGGAGAGAGAAGAGAGAGAGAGAGAGAGAGAGAGAGAGCGCGAGCGCGCGCGTTTGGTTTGAGAGCTGTACAAGTACCATTTCTGTGAGTATCATGGTGGCCAGGAATCTGTTTCCAGAGTTCATGAAAGGGAGACAAAAGTCGAGGCATACTGATACTGGTAGGAGGTTTCTCCCAACAAGTGACGTTGCCTGGACTATCCAAAGATCTTGAGACATTCGTCCACCCTGGGACCTTGTAGGCGGCTCAGAAAGATCTGACCATCTCACACGAGACCTAACGTCTTCCGGTCAAAACCTAACAATCACCACCTGAGTTACATGCCCAGACACTCCACGGGACTGGAATATGTATACATTGACCCCTCTTCAACCACACTAATGATAGGTAGATATGCCAGTCCCATGGAGGGTCTGGGAATGTTGAGGGTCTGGGAATGTTTGGGATGGGAATCTCATATGTCAGATGTTGCCAGAAAAGAAGACCCAAAGAACCTGTACTATCTCCGATAGCCTGTCTCTTCTTTTGGTCGTTGGTGATTTGTTTGGGAAGGTTGACCACTTTGGGCATCCAAACATGCTGTCGAGACAAGGGGGGCTCACAGAAAATCTATAGAGCTAGCATGACCTAGCAATATTTGAGCCGGCAAAATATATTGGAACCATTTGGGAAGGGTTCAGCCTTTAGGTGTCACACTCAGAGTGAATCCTTCCTCCACTGACCTGTCACTGATCCTGTTGATCAAGGTTGGGTGTGTAATGATGCGCAGGTGTGCCTCGGATGTGTTGTGTTTTTGTTTGAATTGTCTCAGCCCCCCCAAAGTGGGCTATAGTCTGGTTTTACCACAAGGCCATGTGGTCTCCGCATGACCTCCGCATGGTCTCCGGCGACGGGTTCATTTTCGGCGCCGACTTGTCGCAGCGTTTTCGGGCCTCGGCAGGGCTGCGCCGTGCTCCCGTATTGCCAGGCGAATCTCTCTTTGAGCCGCCGGTTTTGTCTGGTTGTCGAGAGGAAACCGCCGTGATGAACTCAGTAAAAAAGATCCTGTTGTCCATGGGGGTTCTATTAGAACATGGGAATGCTTTCACTTGGCAACCTCAACTGCCAACAGAACATAACTTTTCTCCACGTTTCTGTCGGAAAATATTCACATTCGTGCGCTTGTGCAACTCATTTCGACATATTGTGAAATAATATACCCCTTATACATCCCGGATCTTGTTATTTGTTGTGAATGCGGTTAAACTCCCCTGTGTGGAGTGTCTACCCTGGAGTTTCTTTGGTCCTTTTGCGAGCCATCTCGTGTGCAAGGCTAGACACGGCCCTCTTGCAGGATCCACCCTGTCAAGACCAACATGGTGACATGGTGGCAGGATGTAGCAGGTGAGATCTACCAATGCGTTGCACGACTACGACCGATTTGACGGCCGAAGAGGGCCAAGCATTTGCAGAGGGTTCCATTTTTTCGTGCGTAACTGACTAAGCTCTCAGTTGTGCATCTGATCCACGTTCCACGTCAAAGGGGTGCTGAAAAAATCTAGGTGTTGAGACGCACCACTGCTTGATTTCCTTTGTTCCTTCTCTTTAAAGCAAACCATCATGCAGATGGCAAACATGCCGCATGCCGGTGCCGTGATGATGTAGTGACCTTTAAGGGATGTGCCGTGCCCATCAAGGGGCATCCGTCCGATGGCAGGCGTTGGTGCGCTTTGTCGCCCACATTCAGCAGTTGGACATGGAGAGCAACGGCAGCTCGTCGCGGGTTATCCGGCGTTAGCATGCGTAAATTCAGCGATGCCATGGATCATCAATATAGATCCATGTGGCTTTGTATGGTTTTGTTTTTTACATGCGTAAATAGAACATCCAGAATCCATTGGAAACCGATCTTTTGGACATGTTCCCTTTTGGTGTGCTTCACCTAGGCGATGAGATTTTTCTTGTCCTCACCTGTTCCCCTTTGGGTCCAGGAGAGAGAGCTGAGGATGATATATCACTGTTAGTTTGGTGCAGAAGCATTGGGCAAGCGTTGATTTGTGAATTTATAGGGTCTTTAACTGCATGCATTTGAATGATTTCATTCACCCTGTGCCTGAGATTTTTTGTTGAATCATGTTGAATCCCAACACCCTATCATGTTCGATTTCACCAACCGGTGAACTCCCTTGACACATGTGGTCCACTGAGGCAAGCGAGTTCAAATGGACGGCAAAGAGTGCACCGTACCATGAATGCACCATAAGCTGTTCAATGAAGTTCAGTCGGATTTTATCGCTCAAGTTGTCCAGTTGCTTTGGGAAGCTCTCATCGTTTTCTTTGCCAAAGTAGATCCAAACAACTTGGATGCAGCTCTCGTTGAGACGCCGCAACCAATGGGGCTTTGGTCCGAAACACATGAGCTTTGTACCAGGTGTCTTTGAGGTCACCCCACGACCGCTCTGCTCTCGCGCCCGTGGACACTCCCGTTGGCCTCGACCAGGTTCCGACGGGCGCCATCTATTTCGGTGAGCCGGGCACCAATGGACAACACTCCTTCTACCAGCTGATGCATCAAGGCCGATGCTGGGGTGTTGTTTCACACGGCAACGTGAAACATCGTGGGGCGAGCGGTTTCGTACGGATTGGTTGTAAGTAGCCTGAGAACTCGGGGTGTGCTGTCCAAAGCTGTTGAGAAGAAAAGAGGGTGTTTTAATGATGCAAACATTTGTGTTGTGTGTGTGTGTGTTTGTTGAATAGGGATGAACATGTTTCAACACATTCCTAATATTCATGAAGCTGCACACGGGTCTGTCTCTTGAGCTCGCTACTCATGCAAAGGTTTTTCGGATGTCCACTTCACCGTTGCCCAGCAAACACTGAGTCAACTACCGGAGGGGCTAAAGCAAAGATAGAATAAAACTCAGTATTTTTTCGGGTCAAGGCGAAGCCTGCAAGAATCAGGCTCATGAACCATGGCCAAAGCAGCCGAAACGAGGGCACATACCAGACCCAAACAGAAGAAATCAGATGAATGTCACCGAAACCAGACAGGAAGCTGAAACCAAAGTTCTGAAGTAGGGAGCTCCTTTTAGTAATCGATAGATCATGATAGATCCGTCCGTAGCCCGCAAGCCTTTAGAACAGAGTCATAGCACCAACATGACGCACTGCTTCGTGAAAAGTGTGACACCCACCAGCTCCACGTTACTGCTCCGAGTGTTTACAATCCAGGAACACTAGCATTCAGGGCACTTTTGAACCCAAGGCTCTTGATGTTTTTGGGGATTTTGTTGATACTTTGAAGAAAACAAGAGCCCGAACTCCGGTTGGAGATGTATTCTGTAGTTATTTGATGTTATTTGTGGCATGAAAAAACAACTCCTCAGGCCTCAGGCCGGTCAAAGTGGTGGACATTCGTGGACGGTTTTGTGTGAACCCCGTTTCAGTCGCTGTGCTCAACTTCTCCACGTCACACGTCGTCAGGGCGCGTGATTCCAGCGGACTTCATCGGCTTCAAGGTGTCCCAGAATCCCATCAGACGCTTGGAACGGCCCAATTTTTTTAAGCCCGGGACGCGGTCGGATGCTGCCAAGCAGATATGCAAGCTTCCATGTATTCTTACAAAACATCGTGGGTGTGCTGCCCTGCAAGGAACTCTGACAGGTTTCTCCTGATTAGCACATGAGCATCCCCATATGACACGACATATTAAAGCAGGGAGATGAGATGCAGATGTGATGCTCAGGTAGCAGGTATCCAACGGACCCACATGGCCAAGACATAGTTTGGAATAGTGAAATGCCTTTGACCTAGGGGTAGGCAAAGTAGGAGGTTTTTATCGTCACCTTCAGCTGGACACGACACAACCAGTAGTGATTTACTTGTTTCAGAAACCTCTCCGCACATTCTCAGTGGTGGAGTTTCCTAGTTCCGCCTCCTGCCCTCTCAGCAAATACTCTCCGAAAAAGGCTGGAACTTGAAGAGATGCTGAAAAAGGTCCATGCTAAACTGCAGAACCGGTTCAACGGAAAGTGCTGCAGAACCAAATAGGACTTCCAAATTCTCCACATCAAAAAGCCCAGCTGCTGTCCTCCCTCAACCTGCACAACCTGCTATATCCTCCTGCGCCCACTGGTTTATCCTGCGCCCACGCCCTTGAGGCTTGGATGGTGAGCCTGTCTCCAATCATGATGAGCTCATGTCCAACTTCTTCGCGCAACCAGATGCCTTGGCCCTGGGCAAGACCGCCGAGGAGCTCAAGGCATCGTCACGGTATGCCACGGTGACACGGGATATGACTGGACCTGGCAAGGGACGTCCCGCTTCGGCTTTTGGGGGACTGGGTTGGAGAAGGGCCTGAACGACGTTCACAGAAATGCCCGCTGGTCGCGCATTCCCAGAATGGAAACCATATATGAAACAATATGCAGTATACCACATGTTGTGAGGCGCATTTTTATGAGCTGCCCATAGCTGCCCTGTTGTGGCGAGGCCTGGTCTCGGCCCGGCCTTTTTCAGGCTGAGAAGGTGCCGGAGAACTTGGTCCCGTCTCTCGGCGCGAGGAGTTCCGAGTTCCTCGCGGTGCCTGGCGATGACTGGGGCAGAATGGACCCAGTCAGTGGACCGAGCTGGTCGTGCGAAATGGGGTTCCCAGCCGCACTCCAGGTAGACATTTTGGGGATGATGTGTGGAAACCTGGATTTTATCAGTAATATTCATAATAGAACAAATTGGGACCATATTGATATTGCAACAACTAGTGGGGATACTCTGATTTTCCAGGGAAGCCGAGAGTCAGTTGACCTTATGAAATATCCCCTGTACAGCCGACTGCCCCACCTCTTTGGGCCTTTTGAGACCCGATGCGAATTCGTCGCAGCTGGTTGTTACTAGTAGTAATGCCCTTTGCTCCTACTATAGCTTCTTGCTCCGTTCGTAGTAAGGCCAGGAGCCCCTAGTAGTGTCCTTGCTCCTAGTAGCGATGCCAGCAGCCCCTAGTAGCATCCTTGTTAGAAGAATCTTCCGCGCATCGTGCATCATGGAATTCCATGAAAGTCTCAAGATCGAGTCCTTTGGAAAAGAAAGTCCGCCCCCTCCGTTCTCGGTTCAGTGCTTAGGGTGAGAGCCTCCTGTGTCTCTGTCCCTCATAAGACTGTCATTGGAGCCCTCAAAGATACACCTCCCCGGCCCATGTAGTTGAACTATATTGATATATTTATCAAGGAGAGCTAAGTATTTAGACATGTTCAACGAATCAACCTATTAAAAACTATAGTTAATGGATGTTAATTGCATAATGTCAACAATTAAGGAAGCTACTAGGGGCTCCTGGCCATACTAGGAGCAGGGACGCTACGAACGGAAGAACCCCTACTGTTACCACACTGTTTGGGAAACATGCGCCATCGGCCGCCTGTCCAGGCACAAGGTGTTCACCGGAGATCGACCGTCCAATTCGCTGCTGCTGCCCATCTGTGATCCGCACCTTGGGATCAACTTCGGCGGAGATGGGAGGGTTGGATGATGGATGTGGAGGTTGGGATAAAGGAAGATGAAGGGACGGTTGGATGATGTCCAAGTCTGAAGGGAGCTACTGGCTTGGAGGTGGAGGTTGATGGAAAATGAGGGAACATACGGACAGCATTGACAGTGTACGTGTGTCTTTTTCCTGATGCTAAGGAGATTCCCAGAATGAATCCACCCAGTAAATTGGGAGGGTTGGCCATTTGTATGTTAGTCTTGGCACAAGGACATTCACGGATGAAGGAGATCTCCAACAGAAAACAAGTTACCAATTCATTGCCCCTTCCTTTTGGTCTTGAAGATGGTTTGTGGTGCCTTCCAACAAATAGATCACTTGTGGGAGCAGAAAAAACAAAAACAACTATTTCAAGTCTGCAGAAGGGTCTGGAGAAGCCACACTTGCTGACTTCAAGTCTGACTTGCCTTTCCCAAACCTGGCCAAAACTAGGACATGGCGATTGGGGAAAGTTTCCGAAGAGGGCAGAAGAGGATTCTGTTCATCTTGAAACTGTAGTCAATGTTGTTTGCTGTTTAACAGGCATGTCTTTTTCACCGGACCAAGGGTCCAAAACAGCAGACGACGGCAACTGATTCCTCAAAACACGCCAGCACGAGCTTCCTGGTCCCCTCCAAGTATCTTGTGCCAAGAGGGTTGAGATAAAGGAGAGCACTATATGTATAAATATGTATATGTATGTATTGGAGATCACCAGGGGTCACGACGATCGAAGGTGTCCCCATGTGTCACCAATGAATATTGATATAGGGTGTGAACCGTACATGCAGACCAGTAAAGGTCCACACAAAAATGATCACTATGTGCGAGGAAGGAATGCAACTGAAACATCATCATCCACCGGCACTGATAATGGGATATACCCTAGATATACTCAACACACTTATTATGATCTTGTATTGGACATCGCTGGATGGTTTTGGTTTTAATGCCGAGTAACGCCCATTGACACTCAGAGTGAACGTTGTGAAGGTGGTTTCTAGCTGCCATCGGCGCACAAAGCCCTGATCAGCGCCACTCAAGAACCTGTTAATTTGGAGATGGGATGGTCCGTGATGGTCCTGTTTCCGTCCAATTTTCTGAGGTACAATCTCGGGCTTTTGTTGTCCCTCTACGAGCACCGTACTGCAGTGCAAGGATGGGTGTGGAACCTCAGATTCAGCGGCGAAGAACACCACGGCCACGACAAAAAAGACAAGGATCAGATCATCAGATCAAGATCAGATCATGGAGAAAAGCGAGGCCAAAAGCACTCAGAGGATCTCAGAGACTCTTAAAACATGTCAAAACACTCGAAGAGATGCTCAATTCAAGCCAATTCGTTGCACCTCTTCTGTGGGGAACACAACCACCAGGTGCGGCCCACCAGGTGCGGCCCGAAAATGCTTCGTGCTTTGGACCTCCCCCAAAAAAGGTCAACACCACGCCACACCCCTCCGCCGTCGGGCGGACGACCCACCGATCCCACCGAGGTGTGGAATGTGAACAGTTTCGATCAATGGGGCGTGGAGCTGGGGAAGGTCTTGGGAGTGAAGGAGTCTCGGACCGCACGACGCCGTGGCAGAGTTGTGGCGTAGTTGACCCAGGGGACTGAGCACTTCTGTTCGGCCAGTGTACCTAATTTATCCTAATTTGGAATGTTTGGGTTTGGCTGATCGGAGGGCTTTCGTTGGTCTGAGAGAGAGAGGGAGAGAGAGAGACAGACCACCTTGGCTTGGGGAATTCCCTACTGGGGAACGCTTGAATTCCCTCAGTGTTCGCAGCTACACTTTATGACTTGACATGGGTCCATGGGTTTTACCAAACTTATACTCGGCGTAAAAAAAAAAACTCTATATAGACTATAGACATGTTTTACATTTTCTGCATCCAGGCATCCAGGACAGAGTTTCTGTCAGTCTGAGGTCCGAAAGTTCCTCTCCACCGCTCGTTCAGGCAGGGTGGGGGGTCCGGTGCCGCGGCGAATGAAACCACTGGGACCGGTGTGTTCGGACGCGAAGGCGAACGAAAACAGATCACCACAAACCAAAGGGTCTGCATGTGTCCGTGTTCAGGTCCAGCTCCAGGACTGGCAAGGACCCTGGATTTGGGTGGGGGTGGGAGGAACTTGAAGCAGTGCGACGGGTCTGTTTTCCCGTCTTTTGGGCAAGAAAAAACAAACACCCACCTCTACCAGCATCCCTCACTGCCTACCTGGGCATGGGCCCACTCGAGGAGCAAGAGTAGACATAGCAGTGAGGATGCCTTGAACGAAGGAAAAGAAGAGTTTGAAGAGCAGCCTCCCCAAATGGCCTAGCCTTCCGGGACTGGCCCTGTTAGAGAAGAAGTCCCCAATGTTGCCAGTCTTGTGTTTTTCTACTTCCAAGATTGGCCATTACTAGTGGAACAAGAAGCTACGTACTAGGTTGAGGCCATCGCTATGCTCGGTTGGAGGCCATTAATTACTAGCAAGAAGCTAGTGGGTGGAGGACATCGCTATTAGGTTGGAGGCCATTAGTTACTACTATAGGAACAACAACGCTACGAACGTAACCAGTGGAATGAAGTCTTTTGTGTCCAGGTGGCGGAGATATGTCAGGCTTCCAGAAGCCGACGCAGTGATTTGGCCTGCTCGTGGTTGGTGTGTGTGTGTGTGTGTGTGTCGTGATGGTGGGTGGGAGCGAGCATATGATTGGCCCTGTGACAGACTGGCAAGAGATGTGTTCAGTGCTTGGCCAGGCCATTTCCGGATGAAGATTCATGCTTTCTGGGGTAAGGGACTCACAGACCGTAGACATTTGTAGACACGAGGTACTCCCACAAAGTCTGGTCTAGAGTCTATAGTCGGTACTGAGCAAGGACACCTTTTTTGCCTTCTCTTCGTCACTCCACTAGTTGCTCCAGTGAACTCACAGTCTACTCAAAAAATGGGCACCAGGACCTTCAAAGTGACCTTTTGAGATCCCAAGATGAGGTCACTTAGGCCTGTTAAAGGTCACAAACAGAGACGGTCGCTTTGACGGGTGCACTTGACCGTGGCTTTGGCTTTGGGGGATCCACTCCATAGGGCTGTTCGGTGGTGGCACCACCCTTAAGGGTCGCACCACATCGGAACTGGTTCTTCTGCGGTCGCATTTGATGAAAGTCCTCCAGCTCTTGATGGTTGGTGACTCCGTCTCCATCTGGAGGAGATGTTCGCTGAAAGAAACTGGAGGTGTTCAACTTCCGATCCACGTCCGGCCAAGCAAAACCGTGGACACGGCCACGATCTCAGGAAGCTGATGAGTGCCATGCTGAGCACACCTTCTGGAGCTAGTGACAGGCCTCAACAATTAAGCTGGAGTGGAGTGGTCCTTTGGGTCTCGAAATGTTATACATATTGTGTATAAAACATGTTGTATATATGAGTATAAATCTATATATAAATTTATATATGTAAAATCCTTCTGGATATGTTTAAACGCATGCTGGCTGCTGGTTGTTCTTTCGCATTCTATCACCCGATTTGCTGCTGAACTGGTGTCCTTCGAAATATCGTTGGAGCCAATGCTCAATTGACATCCTCTGCAAGGGCTTGGACTTTGTCCCTGTGGACACTGACCCTAGCTCACGCTGCACACGTTCTTCCACCGTTCCAGTTGTCCAGACAACCTCAACGTCCAACAAAAAAGACGAAAGGCATCGAAAGGCGAGGAACAAAAATCTTCCAAGACACCGGTTTCCAGGGAGAAACGCTGCTTCCAGCCTCTTCATGCCTCTTGCAAACTTCCCAGCCAGTAGCTCGGCGTTCGAAAAAGGCCTCGAGGCGAAGACGATCCATGTATGGAATAGTTGCTTGCATTAGTATTAGGGTCATAAATGTGTGTTTTTTGTAGTATGCCATATATATATAATATTATAATATACTATGTGACTTTGTGTAGCTATTCAACATGGATTTTGGGGGGTTCACTTTGAAGAACCCAGGGACCCATGACCTTTCAACCGTCCTTGAGATCCGATCAATGTCTACTGGGGTGATTCCAGATGTTTACTGGTTAATTCCAGTCCCAAGTATAAAAAAGGTGTTCAACGTATGTAAATTTCAACCAAAAGGCAACTGGACTCTACTGGTCAATATGTCACTGCTATTGGTCTTACTCTACTGGACTCCGGTGTCGCGACTCCGGTCGACCAGTCGGTCGCAAAAATGACTCGGTGACTGGTCGGTCGCAAACCTCATGGACAGTGGTTTTGCATCACCGGACCCAGTCAAATGAGGTCCGTAAGAACTGTAAGGTATCCTCAAATATGCGGTTTTAACATGGTGAACAACCAAATCCTCCACCGGAAGAACCCCTGAAATGATGATCCCTCGATGTGTTTTGGTCCAACCGAACCTCCAATTGACACGACCTCTCTGTCCCCTTCGGTTCTTGTTCCGGTCTCTTGCTCCGTTGTCTCTTGCTCACCGCGTATTTCGTGTGGAGCCGCTGGCGGCCCGAAGGGTGACTCCTCCAGGATTGTGATGCTGAAGGCGCGCGAGATCTTTGATTCACGTGGCAATCCCACCGTCGAGGTGGGGCACGATGCATGACCGCGTTCGGTGGTGCAAGAGCGTGTGTGAATCGTGAGCTTCCATGGCATGGGCACGATGCATAGCTGGTGTACCCATCCTCAGTTGTGGTCGTCAGGAGAGTTCGGCCATTGACGAGTTTTTGGTTGGTGTTGATCGCAAAGGTCTGGACGGCCGTCAACGGCCAGCAAGTGGCCGTGCATGGTGAATGTTCAGGCATGTTGCGATGCCCATCCCCCAGTTTTTACGAGTTGTTATGCGTGACAAAGACATACCAAGACGAAAAGACAAACATGTTCAGGGATTGATCCTGATTTCACACACAATTGGGAGTCAAAACTCATCAGAGACGACACACAGATACACAAACCATCACAAATCACAAGCTCCAAAGAATGACATGGATGCACCTTTGTCCATCTTGTTTGGACATGTTTGGAGTGTTTTCATCCCCGGCTTGGGAGAGAGTTGTTTGGTTGCCCAAATTTAAAGGCAAGTTGTCGGGACAAGCTCGTGAGTGAGTTTGTTTTGTAAGGAAATGCACAAGAAAAAATACAAAGGAGCCACAAACGGAATCAAGAAAACGTACCATTCGCACATGCCAGTTCGGTTCGTGGTGGTATACCGGGCCTCAGAAGGGCCTCAGTTTCTGGATCGACCTTTAATCAACATACGTTGCCGAGAGGCAACCAGCGAGCATTGTGGGGTCGAGAGTGCCTCCATGGGGTCTCGAGATCCTGGGCCCTGAAGAGGGCCGCAAAATATCCGATGACCATCTTCGCAGTATATAGCCTCATCCATCAAACCTACATCCGAAATTGCACCCCAACCCAGTCGCGCCTTCTCAGAATGTTTGTGGAATCAATAGTTCTTGAGCAGAAGATTGGCTGATCTCGGATCATAGCCAGTCAAACAAAGAAAGCTGGACAGGTGAAACAAAAACAATACATATATATATATATGATATAGTAATGATATATAGTAGTATATATATATATATACTAATAGTATTATAGATGATAGATGATCATGGGTAGATATGTGTGCCCTGGAATTCCAACATATGCTTAATGGTTTTACCAAGATTAATTGTTTTACTAAGTATCTATTGAAAGAACCATTCCTTGTTCTACCTAGTAAACCTAAAGTATGCAAAAAAATTGTAGTTTCGGAAAAAAAAAAACAGTTTTTTTGTTGAAAATGTATTTTTTGTATAACAATTACCTTTTTGGATTTTGGTTACCTTTTGTTACCTTTTGCATACTTACTGCTGTTTGTTTGAGAAATCATGGGACCATTCTGTCTGAGATCTCCAGTCTGGAGTTGTGGGCAAATGAACAGGGCGCCAGTACTTACTTTCTGTACACAAAGGATGTTGCAATCACCAGAGGGCATTTAGATGATACATGATGCCCCCTGAGCACAAATTGCAACTTCCTCGTTTTGCAAAGATTGCTTTGGAGATCCATATCGCCATCGAAACCATTTCAAAGTGGTCGAGCTCTATCTATTTAGTTCATAGTCATGGTTAGAGTGGCCAAAACTTCAAGACGTTGAAAAGCTGCTCTGCCTTTGCCCTCGAAGAACTTCGAAGCGAAGGCCCTGGAAATCGACCGGACAGAAGCCAATTTCACTGAGAGCATGCTGTGTTTGAGATGTGTCAAATTATCCCAACAGCTTGTCATGGAATGCCTTGATTCCATCTTGCCTGAAAGATTCGGATAAGTTGCGGTGATCATTCAAAGCTGAAAAATAGAGAAACGCTTGGGGCAACGGAAAACAAAACCTAGCTCGATCTGCAATCGCTGAGATTTCCATTTTTTTCAGTGGACATTTAAACTTCCATGCAGGAGTGGCCGAAAAACAATTACGGAATTTACCGTCCAAATGACGGAAATCACCGGAAAAATTGCGGAAATTGCCGGACACGGTTTGGATGTTTTGAATGTAAATTTTTTTGCTGTGTCAGGGGCCTCTGGTACGTTGGTACATGCAGGTTTCCTTTGATGTGGCCACGCCTGCTCCTATCAACTCCTTGGTTTCGAGCTGCGCCACTCTGTGTGAGGTGAGGGATTTGAAGGCATGCCCTGCCCGACACATGATGTTGTGCAGCCCCCTGATGAGGAAGACACCCTTCTCCAGCAGTTGCAGGAGCAAAACACAGCTAACTCGCTGTAGTAGTTGTTTCGATTCCTTAAGAGGGGCTCGCACTGCGTTACAGGTTGTGTATGACTTCGGCCCAAGCGCCAAATCTTTCTCACACCACTTTTGAGACGAGAGAAATTGTCAAACTGTCCAAATTTTGCGTGTCAGTTAAATGGCATTGTGCAGCCAACAAAGTTCTTATTATTGGGAGAATCAGCCGTGACAGTAGACAGGTTGCAAGCAAGCAGGTGATCCTAAGGGCCATCGAAAGGTACGGTGTATCCTTGCACTTTCGCCGGAACCGACTGAAAGAGCCTAAGTTTAGGTGAAAAACTACCTTTTGGTGTAAGAAGAGGCTGGATTTGGGATTGGAAGCACCTGAAATAATGAATATTGCATACCCTCCACTGGCTTGATCGCAGCAACTACAATTTTACAAAACAATGACGTTTCTTGGCTGAGATGACCTTTTTTGCCGGAAAAGAACACGATTACATTTTTTTTGCATACTTGGGTTTTCTAGGTAAGGATAGTGTGTATGTATTCCAGACACTGCATGGGACTGACTGGCATATTTACATGCATTGGGGTGGTTGACCTGAGGTCAATGTAGGTATATCAATATTCCAGTCAACACACGAAGTGCTTGGGGTATTTCAAACGTTTTGTTTTGGGATATAGCTGTCCTTCTATTTGGATCTCCTGTCTTCCACTTCTTACGGCCAGGTGGACTTGTGTACCGAGAACTGCCTCTTCCGGGCCGCTGTGCCCTCCGGCGCCTCCACGGGCATCTACGAGGCGAGCCTCGCGACGAGGAGACGATGGATCCGTTTTTCATTTTTCGTGGACGATGAGGACTCTAAAGATGCAGTGGTTCCACAGAAATCTAATACCATTGTACAATGGTCTCAGATGTGAGTAAATTGGCACAGGCACCCCCAAGATGTCTTTGAGATGGGAGTCCATATACACCACTGAACGTGGGGATTTTGCCATCTACTCTGAAACCACTGTAGACCCTCCAAGTACCTCACCAAAAATTGTACTGTGGATGACCTGTTTACTTTTGTTTAATGGCGTAATGTTCCATCTTCAAGGGTGCTTTGGAGGAAAGGAGTTGTCAATGGAGGATAGGGGTGCACAGAACATCCACATGCTTGGGTTCCAAAAACCACTCCTTTTGAACGGTACCGAAAACTAGCATTCTTTGTGTCCAAATTCATCTAAGGGCTGGGAAGGGCAAATAGGTCACCAAGGAAGCGAGAGATCTGCAAGCTGTTTAGTGTGTGTTTGACCAAAAAGAACAGGAACACGTCGAAAACGTCCGAGGAAAACGTTGGAACATGGAAGTGGAGTGAGTGAGTGAAAACCACCTGTTTGATCTTCGGATACAGTCATCCATTCAGGGTCATGCCATCCACGGATGGTTTCAGGCGGTGTACATGGCCATAGCAAGTGATGCATTGCCTCGGAATATGTCGCGATGTTTGGGTTTGTGGTGCTTGGTTCACTGAAAAGCAGCCATGAAAGCGGACATGAAAGCACAGAACCTTCCAAGCAAAGATACCCGACATCCGGTGCCATTCGATGCCTTCCTGATTCAGGCCATCACAGCTAGTTTGATGTATCCCATGTATGGCATCCCAATGTATAGATCAATATGCCATTCATGGATGGTCTGCGTATAGGTCATATCTAGGTGGCACGGAATCGAAATGCAGTGGACATGTATGATTTAATCCTGGAAATGCGGATTTGAATGTTGGGAAAGCCGCATTTGGCGGTATTTGAATCCTACCCTACCCTACAAACGACCGCATGTATTGATAACTGATGGTTGTTCCTGGAGGATGAATTGAGTACAGCTAGGCTAGGCATCCATGTTCAGGGAGTTGTTTGTTTTCAGGACCTTCTACCTGGTAGACCACCCATGTTCAAAACCATCGAAGCTTGGAGGACTTTGTCCTTGACTTGCTCTTTGTTTCTGCTTTTTGTGGGGTGTTGGATTGTGAGGTCGCTTTGGATGCCTACATGTTAGTGATCAGAAAATTGCACAAGGTTGAGCTGAAAGCACAAACAAACAAACACACAAAAAGACAACACATGCCGCCTATGCCTATAAATGAGAGGATATGAGGAGTGTCTTTTTCTGGATCATCCTGAATGGATGGGACTCCCAACGAGTTCGTGGCTCCGACACTGCAAGGCCTTGGAGCTCCGAGATGCAGACAAAAACCGCTTGCTGGGCAAAGGTGCGGCCCTGCGATGCCGTTTCGGAGCGGAGCGGAGCATCGGAGCAGACGCGGGGGGGGTTGGGGGAGTGGGCGGCTTTTGGTTTCACCTCGAGTCGGTGGAGGTGGATGTTTCAATCACTGGATTTGTGTGAAATATACATTGACATATTAAAATCACTTAAGGTATAATGACACACATGGAGAATAGAGTGTTTGGTATTGAACATAGGGAGACCCCCAACGATCTCGCCCCGGTCGCTGGGGCGGGTCGATGGTTCCCTTTCGACGACACCTGGGTTCGGTCTCCCGAGCTGGACGACGACACCGAACCGCTTGATTCAAGGTGTCTTGGTATGAAGCTTGAAAGATCCCTTTTCCAAAACCCCCGGCTCTAAAGGGAAGCTACTAGTACTAGTAGCTAGAAGCTACGCCATGGCTATTGGGTTGGAGATCATTACTAGTAGTAGCTAGAAGCTACTAGGTGGAGGC